GGAAGTCACTGCTCCGTTCGCTCTGCTGAGTCCCCACGGCCAAAACCCGAGGTCAGAAGAACTAGAGATAGAGCCCCCAAGCCCAGTCAAAGACGGTCCTCCTCCCCCGCCGTGTAAGAACGCAGTGCACATGCACCCCAGGCGGCGGGCAGAGCTCCGGGGGAAGCCCTGACTGGGGGTGACTGGTAGGAGGGCCTCCTACAATGAGTCGGCTGGGCTCCGAGTCCCCGGAACCAGGCTCGCGCGTCTCGGGGCGGAAGCAGGGGTAGTATTCTAGAAGGGAGCCGGGCCCCTCCCCCCCACCCCCGAGCAGCCGGCACGGGCACTGGCTCTGACGTGGTGTAGGCACTGAGGGGTCTGCCAGGCTCAGGGAGGCGACCCTGCAGACGTCTGACCTCTGTTTAGCTGCCGTGTGACCTGCCCGAGGGGTGTGGGCACAGGGGGCACCCCGTCGTGCCCGAGGCCCTGGTGCCTCCACGCTGACTTCTGAGGATGCGCCGGTGATGCAGCTTGAGGAGCGTCCCTCCAAGCGCCAGGGCCGAGCCAGGGAGGGGGGTGGGAGGGCGAGCACCTTGGCAGAGATGGCCCCACATGGCCTGGGACCCCTGGCGGCTCAGGAGGCGGCCTCGCTCAACACAGGACAAAACCGATTCTCCTCAACCACAACTGGGGAAGTGGGCTCACAGGACACACTCCTGCGTCACAGACTCCCATCTCAGGTCCCCCGCACCCAACCGGCCGGGTCCTGAGCACGTAAAACCTAATGCGGGAAGCAAGGCCTTGGCAAGGAACGCGTGAAAGGAAAGGGCTTTATAAAACAGGAGAACAAGCTGGAAACGAGGGACAGACACCGGGTGAGGGGCGAGGGACCACAGGCGCGGCCACCCCTGCCGAGGCCCGTCTGGAGGGCGGCCCCACCCAGGGGCACACGGGCAAACTTACATTCTTCCCAGTGAATACTGCTTCGAGGCAGAGGTATCACAAAGACGGCTTGTAGGGGGCTGGGGGGACGTGCTCTGCTTTGAGCCGAACTAGCGGCGGGGCCGTGGGTCGGGGAAGAGGGGGGCCTGGTGCAGCCGAGCCCCCGGGCTTCTGGTTAGCAGCTGTGGCTCCCGGGACCTGCGGAGAGTTGCAGTCCCTCAAATAAGCAGCGCACGGTCCCCTCAGCATCTGCGCACACAGCTGCCCTGAGCGGGGCCGTGCTGTGTGACCCCGAGACGGCCCCGCAGGCCATGCACGGTCGCTCGAGGGCCAGGCAGAAGGAGAACCACACACCCACGGGGGCTGCCTTCTGGCCCTAAGGGATCAGGGAAGTTGTTTCTTCCTCTCTGATGCTTTCGCACATCGAACTAAGTGTTCTTTTTTCAAATGAGGCCTGTTTTAGTCTCTATAAGGAAGCTGACCCCAAGGCCAAAGGCAGGCCTTCTCTTCCTCCTGAATTCTGAATGGAGCCATCTCACGCTGCCCCCTCCGGATGCTCCACAGAGACCCAGTCTCAGAGGAAGGGGAGCACTAGCCGAATCAGGCCCATGGCCCCAAACCACTCTTCCGCCAGCCCCAGCAAGGAGCAGAAAATGGACCAGAAGGTCCCCACTGAACCCGTCGGGGCACAGCGGGGCCCCACCCCGCCAGCTTGAGATTCACAGAACAGTCACTTCAGCAGCCCAGAAATCCTTCGTCACCTTCGCAATGTGGCCTGGCTCTTAAACAAGAACAAAGGGAAAACAGCAAACCTCAAACACGAACCCACCAGACACAGAAAGGGGGAAGCTGCCGGGAGCGGCTGCGAGCACGCGGGGCTCGGTGTGCCTGGCCATCGGTCCTGCCGTCCCCAGGGCGGGGGTGAGGCCGAGGAGCCGTGTCCCAGGATGGGGGGGTGAGGGGGGCAGTTCCGGCATGTGTCTAACCTCACCGAGGGATGTGAGTCGTGTCACCTGTAAGTCTTTGGAAAAGGACAGTTGGCCGAGCCCCCGACAGGCGGCCCCAGCCTGTCCTCACCCTACTCAGGACAGCACCCCTGGGCAAGAAAGATGCAGACTGCTAGTGAGGTCCACCCTGGGGCTGCAGGGGCTGAGCCCCCCGTGGCCTTCTGTGGACCACACTGTGGCGCTCACTGGGCCTGTGACACAGGCCCCTGAGCTCTGGGTACAAGCCTCCTCCTTCCATTGGCTGCTAGACAGTCCTGGTGGAAAACACTCTACTACTGAGAAGTTACTTCTGTGACTTCTTTCCGTGCAGAGAGGGTGCTTTCCCGTACCTGGCCCCAGTCAGTGTGGTGATGGGTCGAGCAGCAGACAGAGAAGGGAGGTGGGTCCAGGCGGAGAGGGCCCGAGTGTCCTGTGTCACTGGGGAGGCCGGTCCTTCCCAGAGCCCGAGCATCTGCCTGGCTGCCCCCTTCATGGGCACCTGAGCCCCCGGTGACCAAAGAGAAGGTTCTTGGACACCTGAGATCACACTGACACCAGGATGGTGCCGGAATTGAGCAATTTCTGCTTCTCCCCCTGCCTGGCGGGGGCTGGCCCACCTCTACAGCCCACGGTTGTGGTGGGTCACAGGCAACAGATTCTGAGGGCCGTGGTCCCTTCATCACTGCTGGCCTGGCACTCTTGCTTCCAGTGTGTGTGTGGCGGTGGGGGGAGGGGGAGGGGGGACCATCACGCAGTGGGCTCGGGGGGCAAAGAACCACCTCTCCGCTCTAAGGTGCAACTGGTGGTCTGGTCCCCCGTCCCTGGCCAAGGGCGGGCAGGAGGCAGGCGGGCTCTCTAGTCGGAGGACCGTGAACCCACCCAGCCACTCCCCCGGGAGCTCCCCCGAGGCCTCGCCCGCTCCCTGTCCTGCACTGCTCTGCGTCTGGTCTGAGTTGACTGCACAGGGTGCCCTCCTCAGTCCCACGAGCTCCCACATGGCAGAGTCCCCCCAGCAGACACTCTGCCCTCTCCTGGCTTCCTTCTCGGGGAGCCACCGCCTGGACACAGGGTGGCCCATCGCCAAACATGAACCGAAACCGAAGTGTCTCAAAAGTCGGGCAAGCAGAGGGTCAGGGCCAGACTGACCAGACTAGGAGAAGGCCCAACACTCTCCCACACCCACACTGCCCCGCGTCCGCACCCACACTGCCCCACGTTCGCGTCCACACTGCCCTGCATCCGCGCCCATACTGCCCTGCGTGTTCTGTGCAGGGCTGCCAGCCCAGCGTTCCCACGGGGGCAAACCCAGGTCTGTCCTGCCAGCCCGCAAGCAAACGCAGTCCCCTCAGCGGGACCTCATAACAGCTGACCCAAAGGCAGGCCCTAGGTTTGGATCCTCTCCAGTAAGGCCCAGGGCAGACGGCCTGCAGGACCCCAGCCCAAGCCACCCGCCCTCTCATGCACACACCAGATGCTGCTGCAAAAGACAATTTATAAAACAAAAAACGTCAGCGCGAACAGAGTGCGGATTCCTGTCACCGAGGATGGCAGGCTCAGCCGTCCCCACCCCCATGTCACCGAAGACATTGGGCAGGGCTTCATGGGAGCTTCTCTCCCTCTTGAAGTCGCTGCCATAGAAACAAGGGGTTTGGGGCCTGAAGAATGTCAGGCCAGGTGTCACCAGGCCAGACTTGAGGACACTCCATAATTGTCCTTGGCGACTGATGACCACGGCAGTGAGACAGAGGCCGTCTGGCCTCCAACAAGTGCTGGCCACGGCCAGGCCACGCTCGGCACCTAAGCCAGTCTTGCCTGAATGCCGCGAGGCCATGTCCCACGGTTTCCCCTGCATTGCGAGCTGGCACCATGCCCAACCTGCCAGGCCTGCTCCTCCTCTCAGGGGCTGCAGAGGCCGAGTTCTCTGGCCGGTGCTGCCATAGGGCCTGGGGGGTGGGGGTGGGGGGACAGCTTTGCTGGCTGGAGACTAATGCTGAGGACACGCCACTTCCAGGAAGGAACACCGTCCCCACCGGACTTCGGTGCAGGGCCCAGTGTCCACCACCGGGAAAACCAGCGTGGGTCGGCCAGCCAAGTTCAAAGTTGTTTTTTACAGACCACTTAACGTTTCCTGAGAATGTTCTCCAAGAGGAGCTGAAGAGCTATAACGTGGACCCCGAAGTGGGCTATAAACCAGGAGTGCGGTTCACCTCCGGCCGCGGTGACGGCCCCAGCAGCAAGGGCATCTGCAGTTCCAGGGTGCCTGTTGCCGCCTGCTGGTCACGGGGCCAGGTCGCAGGCAAAACCCACGGAGGCAGCAAGTGTGAGCGCAGGGGCGGCGGGGCCCGGTGCTGTGGGCCTAGGAGGTGCGCCTCAGGTGGTAAAGTGACTGTCCCTTGCCGACGGTATGCGAGGCCTCCAGCAGTGCTGTGTGTCCCACGGCATCCGGGCCCCAGGGCCTTAGGCCGCAGAGGACACAGGGCTCACCGACTCCTGGCTTTGCAGCCTGTGGACGAGGGCCCTCAGTGCTCCCCGCCGACACAGCTTTCTGCCCCGAACGCCAGTCTGGGAGGCCGTCGATCTTCCTTGAAGTTAGCAGGCAGAGCAGCAGCATCGACTTGTCCCAGGATTAATGCCTATGGCTGCTGCGCTGTCCACACCCAGAGGCCTCGTGGACACCTGCTCCCTCGTGTTCACCTCAGATTTGTGAGTAAGCCTGAATCCCACTGTTTCAAGAAACCAGAAAGCCAAGCCTGCGCCCCCCGCCCCAGATTCATGCCGACACTTTCTAGGCTGCTACTTTAGGGAGAAAACACCCCCAGATGATGTGGGCTCTGGCAGCGCCTGCCCTCCTGCGCACTCCCGATCCGCCGCAGACAGCATCCGGGCCGCTGCTGGCCTCCCCGGCACGATGGCCTCCATCCGGGCCTCTGGGGGCCATGGCTGCTCTGGAAGCCTTGCCTCTGCTCGCGGCTGAGTTGCCCGTGATCCGCTCCTCCAGGCGCCGGGCCACGGCCCATCCCCCACGCCCTCGACCACGGGCCCAGGAGAGAAGGTGGTGGAGGGGAAAGGAAATAAAGACAGACAATTCCCGAGTCGTACAATCAGCTGTCTCAACTCATTTATGTGTTTTGTTTTAAACCACAGCAGGGACAGGAGACAGAACGGGGAGGACCAGCGTGTCCGGGTTGCAGGGGAGGCTGAGGCCACCCTGTCCGTTTGGCACGTGCGCAGGTCAGTGTGGGGCCTTTGCGTCGTGGTCTGCAGGCGGCAGGCGGTCGGCGGTCGGGCCCGGCTCCAGAATCCCTTTTGGCAAGCGTCCCACTCGGCCGCACATGGGTGTCTCACTCCCCGGTGCCAGGCCCCTGCGGGCCAGCAGCCGCGATCACCCCGGCCTGCGTCGTCACAGTCCCACTGGGCTCCTCTACACGCGACCTTTTGACCTCAGGCTCCCCAGTGGAAGAGGCTGCGGAGGCGGTGGAGGCCGCTGTGGCTGGGGCGGGGGCGGTCGTGGAGGCGGCTGCGGGCTCCTCGGGCCCCACCTCGCAAACCCGTGTGACCACCACTGGCGTGGATGAGCTTGCCTGGGCCGCCAGCAGCTGCAGGGGGCTGGTGAGGGCTGGGAGTGGAGGGGAGAGAGGTGCGTGTTGGCAAACGGGGGAGACCAGCACACGTGGAGCCACGGCAGGGCGGCCGGGCTGACCACACGGGCCCTCCCCGCCCCCTCCATGCAGCTCCACCCCTGCTTCAGTCCCTGCCAGGACTCACTGCCCTTCTCCAACACTTTCCTGATCCCACAGGCGCGAGCTCCAGGGTGGGAGCTCTGTCCCGCCCGGGCCTGACCAGTGCCCATGCAGACGCACTGCGCCAAGGGGATCGCTGCATCGACTGGACATCCTCAAAAGGTGGGTGCAACGGGCGGAACGAGGCGGTGCAGGGGGGCAGGGCCTCACCGTAAGTGCTGCCAGCCAAGCTGTTGGTGGGGACCGCGTGCTTCCCATTCTGAGTGACGGCCCGGACTGGAAGGTGGTGCTGCCCGATGGTCACCGGAGCGGCCGGCTGCAGGATGGTGACTGTGTGGCCAGGGACCCCTGGGGCCATCTGACTGGCTACTGTCTGGATGACGCGGCTTGCGGCGGGGATGGTGGCGAATGCGATGGTGGGCTTCTCTTCCAGGCCTGCAGGAATACAGGGTGTGCGAACCCTGCGGCCACCCCGCGCCCGCGCCCACGCCCACACGTGCCTCGGCAGGAAGTCTGTTTACACGGGGAACGGACTGTGGCTTTAAAGCATCGACATCGACACCGGGGAAAACGTTCTCAAAAGAAAAATCCTACTGACGAGATACGTTTGAAACAACAGAAAAACGAATAACACGGTTTTAGCAAAAGACTGACAGGTCCTGAATTTGAAGCAAGCCAAACGTAAACATAGAAAAAACTGTTATCATTTGGAATGAAAACATTTGCATCTGGAGTCATGGACTTCTTTCCCCAAAATGTCTTTGTCGTTATGACACCTACAGGCGTGGGGGCCACAAGGAGGAGGCCCCGGAGTCAAGCTCCCGCCAGCGTCTTCCACGGCCGGCGTTGCATTTCCAACAAGTACACGGTATCCTTGGGCTCGAGAGGCCTCACGTAGGAATCTGTGGCTGTTCTTCATTTTAAGTGACCTCTAAGGACTCCCTGCTGGGGGCTCCAGAGCAACGATCTCCCCCACCCCCCACCCGGGACCACAGCCTCAAGCCCCACAACCCAGTGCCGTTTCCTCGAGGACCACATGCACCCGAAGGCGCGACCACTGAGGATGGGGGTTGGCATGGATCTAAAAGGACGCGCTCCCCGAGAAGCTCGTGGCAGGAGGTACGGCAGCAGCCGGAGAGCCATCGGTCCCCAGAGACTGCGTGTGTCCTCAGAATGTGGCCCTGTAGCCTCGTAGCCCAGGCTGATGGACGACCTCCCAGACACCAGCCCGGCCTGGGGACCGTGTGACCGCCTTACCTCTGGCCTCGCTGCCCAGGTCCAGCACGGCCGTGCCCGCCGCTTCGTGGGCGCCTCCTGCCGAGGCCTGGCTGGCGAGGATGTACCCATTGGCAGAGCTGGCGGACGTGGTGACCACCCTGAGCATGGTGACGGGGGGGGCCTGCTGCACCACGTGGATGGCGTGGCCGGAGGGCGGCTGCGCCGTCACTATGGACGCCGGCATGTAGGCGACGGGCTTGGCCACCAGGCTGGGCGGTCGGGGAGGCACGGCCATGATCACCGGCTGGGCACTGACGGGAGAGCCTGTGAAGGGGAGGAACGTGGCCGCTGAGCCCGTGCACGTGAGGCTCCCTCCCACCACGGTTCTGCCACATCACGCAGAGGCCCCCAGACCACTCTTACCGGGTGCGCTCTGGGAATACCGATACTCCGGAACAGACGCCAACTTCGACCCAAAGTCGGGGTCATGTGGAATGGGCGAGCCCTCTCGAGACAGGCACTCTGGGGTCTGCAGGCCACTGGAGCGAGGGGATACAAGCCCAGGGTGGGTGGGCGAGGCCGGAGCGCTCCTACGGAAGCAACGAGACGAAGGGCCGCGGGGTAAGCACACAGAATGAGGAATGGAGATGGCACCTGAATGTGAACGTCGCTGCATCCGTGTCTCGCACACCACCTGCACCGGCTTTTCCTGACGCTTCTCTGTCCTCACGAGGGGCTTCCCACACCCATGACGACACTGCCTGATGAATGGAACAGCGGCGGGCACTGAGCCCAGTGAATGGGAGAGCGCCACGTTATCCGTGGCTTCCCAGCAAGAGCCACACTTCAGAGCACTCACTTCCTCAAAGGGACCCACCAGCTTCCGCAAGAGTGGCTCAGTGTCCGCGTTAAAATTACAAGCCTTGGCGGGATGGGCATAAAGAACCCACTAGGACCAAGGACACACCTCCAGGCTATTCACCTCTCGGGAAAGGCTGCTCCCTTGGCCGCGGTTCTGCAACAGCGCCCCCATCCGGCTCCTGCCAGTGAGGCTGGCCCGGGACCGGCCACACAGCACGGGGACCCGTGTCCCGCGAGCAGAATCACAGGGTCAATATCAACACAAACCCTCCAAGGCAGGACGACGGGGCTGCCTGGGTGCAGCTGGGGAGATGGCACCTTCACTCTGCATTTATTTGTCACCGTAAATGGCACCCAGGTCTCCCCGGGCACAGACTTGGCACTCTCCCCGCCCCCAGCCCTCAAGGATTCCTACTGCTTTTCCCACCTGCCAGCTGGCTTGCCAGACTCCCACCCAGGCCTGGACCCCATCTGCTCCTTCCCACGCTCCAGCTGGTAGCACCTGGGTCCCCCCCGGTCCCTGAGCCTGTGACAGTCGTCACTCATCTCTAGCAGGACCTTACACTGCACCAAGTGCACCCCGCTTTCTGCCCGTCTCCTGCCCAACACAAACACGCCCCCTTCCCCGGGGGCGGGGAGATGCAGCCAGGGGTTGGGGTGATGCTCCCACGAGCGCGGGGGGACCGGGCACAGCTGGCAAGCCCCGGAAGCCGGGAGAGGCCAGGCCTGTGGAACTGTGCTCCTGGGGTGCCTGCACACCAGCCCTGGTCACCCTCGCATGGTCTCCCTCCACTTTCCCAGTAAGCCACGTGGGGTCTGGAAAATCTGAGCTCCACTGAAACATTCCGAATCCCAACTTTACCGATGTGACTGTCACCTTTATTCCAATTTCTACTTAGGTTATGGCACTGGCTGCTGACAGCAGACAGGTCAGAGGAGCAGCAAGCTGGCTATGTGCTGACTCTGCCGTGACAGACCTTGCCGGTCCTAAGACAGCCCCGCTCGAGAAAAACAGGTAACAAGTTTAAAGTCCCCAAAGTCTGTGACGTGGACGTCTGGGGAAGCCAGCCTCTGAGCGAGGGTCAGGGCAGAGGCTTACCTGGACGACAGTGGCCCAAAGGGGGTGCGGAAGCAGGAGACGCCCCTCTGCCTCCGTTTCCGGAATGCCTGTTCCACGAGCTTCGCTTCTGAGGCAGGGTCTATTCGCCAAAAAGACCCCTTCCCAGGCTCCTCCTGGGAACGAGGGACTTTAATAAAGTAGCGGTTCAAAGAGAGGTTGTGCCGGATTGAATTCTGTGGACAAACAGAGACATTTGCCAGTTAGCACAAGAGAAAACGAACCCTGAATCTGAACGCAACAGACACGAAACCAGAAGCGATGGCACAGCCCAGAGATGATGCCAGCGAGGGCACGCCACAGGCTGGCAAGGTAATTGTGTTTCACTGGCAAGTGCAAAGGCACTGTGGTATTTTTTTTTCTATCACAATTGAGCATAGCATTCTTTCTAGAAAAAGTAAAACAGAAAGACAAGCCATAGTCCGGGAGTCTGCCAAGTCCAGAACCTATACTAAATCAAGGAGCCAAGGGACAATAGCGACTCCGGGAAAATGTCCATAAGCAAGTGTGACACCGCTAAGTTAGGTCTGACGACCCTGGTCCCTGTGTAGCCCAGGACTGTAAGGTGTGGTGAGCGTGAACACATAATAAGGCACACGTACTGACCCTCCCTGTTCTGCACGTTAGAGAGAGGCAAGACTATTTGGACTCACAGGGGCTGTGGCTCATCTGAGATCCACCACAGGTCACCAATGGGGGCATCTCTGTACCACCGGCCGTCTTACAGAACACGCCCGACCTGTGGGCGCCCTTGCTCCTGGGTGGCAGGCCCAGAAACTGGCTCCTCGGGCTCCGGGCCTCACCTGCCAGCCTTTGTCAGCCGTCCGGTAGTAAGGGTAATGCTTGGTGATGTGGGCGTAGATGCCGCTTAGTGTTAGCTGCCTGTCCTGCGCGGACGAGATGGCCTGCACGATCAGCTGCGCGTAGGAGTACGGCGGCTTCGACTCGTCCTGTGGAGACATGCAACGCGGGGTCAGCTCCCGGGGGCACCCCGCCTGGTCCCTCCTGAGAGCACCCTTCTGACATGGACCAACAGTGACCGCGTGCCCCCCAGCCCCGTCCCAGCGACCGCCGCCTGCTTCACCAACACGCGAGCAGTCAATGGGGCCTGGCTGCGCCCGTCCCCCACGGGGAAGAGTCAGAAATCTCTCCCTTCCTCTACAAGCGGACTTCAGAATGGGTATCGGATGGCAATGAGCCAAGATGCAGTGCTGTAAGGAAAAACTTGCCATTTTCCCGCAGAGACTCATAAAAGGCCTGAAGCCACCCTGTCACCAGCAGACGGGGACGAGGGAAATCGGTAAGGAGAAGAACGGCATCCACGGGGCCTCAAGGCACCACCAGCAAGCGGGCAAACCGGGCCGTCCCGGCAGCATCCTGTCCCCAGCTGCGGCTCATTTTCACGCCGGCACCGCCCTGTGCCCCACGCCCCACGCCCGGCCGCCGCGCAGCCCCGTGCGCCTGGAGCCCCGAGACCTTGGGGCTGTCCCCTCCGGACGTGTCCGCCTGCTGCTCTGAGGCGGCCTTCGCGGCGAACTCTGCGGCCAGCTGCAGGTCCGAGGTTACGTTCTGGACGAAGCGGTAGCCGGATGAGCCCGCTCCACGTGGACTGGCCGGGCAGGAGTTGGGAACACTGCGGAGACAAGTGACACGTCCTAAGTTTGGGATCTTGAAAAGGAGGATCTGGTGGCGCAGGACCTCAGCACCTATCTGAGTGACACAGGGCGACAGAGAAATCCTGACCCTTTCCTTCTCTACGTTATCAGGACACTGTACCTCCCCTTGGTAAAGGACAGACCACGTGCGACCAGGGACGGTCCGTGTGGCGGCAGTTTGTGCTCACAGCAGGCAGTGGTGGGTCCTGACAGGCGGGTTTCCAGGGCAGCCCACCCATCGGCCTCCTGTTCCCACCGCAGACGGCCAGGCTGCCCTGTGCTGCTGCTGCTGTCGGGTGCTCACTGGTCCACACGAGGGCGCTGTGGGCAAAGGCCAGGGAGCCGTGGAATTCAGAGAGGGCGGGAGCACCTCTGGACCAGCCCTCCCTAGTTCCTCAGGGGCCACGGCCACAGCCACGGCTTCAACCTCTGTGCTGGAACCATCCATGCTCCAAGACCACTCCTGTTTCCTGCGGGTCCCGAGTGGCCTGCTGGCCCCCCCCCCCCCCCCCACCCCCGGCCGCTTCCTGCCCGCCCAGCCCAGCCTGGCTCACGGGCAACAGGCACTGGTCTGGCGCTCTCGTTTACCAGGTGAACTTTGGTTATCAAACCACAACATTCTGATTTTGAAAACCAGTTCTGTTCTAAAGTTTTCAGAGGAAACAGATGAAGACACTGAGGGGGTAATGAGCCCAGGTAAGAGGTGCCCCTGCTGGGACCTGCCCGGACAGCAGGCCCCTGGCCTCAGGAGCGCGCCTGCCAGGCCAGCACCCCACCAGGAACCATCCAGAAGGCCCCAGGTGTCCAAACACGTGCCGTGTGCTCTGTTCCACTTTCCGGCCCAAGCATCCTGCCCCGCAGTGTCCAGAACCTTCCTCCTCCCCTGGGCCCAACAACCACTGGCTGGCGGATCTGTCTCCCATTGGTAAAGGCAGAAAACAATAACAAAAGCAATTTTTTCTTAACTGAATTTGGAACCAAATACACAAAACCTAAACTTATAATGTGAGTTGGGTGGGGATGTCACTGGTAACATGTCCGCGTGCTTGAAAACAGGCAAAACTCGCACGCGGCACGAGGCGGCGGTTCAACGGTCATGTGACCCTGACGTGAGGGGCGCTTCCTGAAGATTCTGCCCTGCGCTGTGCCAAACGGTGCGGCAGCCCAGGAGGCACGGGCGCAGAGGCAGCCCCGTCCCCACATGCTGCACACTCCATGTGGATGGGACTGTAAGCCTTCCTCCAGCCACGAGGGCTGAGACCCAGAGACATGCTTCCCGGACACAGGTCCACACCCGACCAGGTGGCGGGGGGGACCCTAGCCACGTGCTGCGGACGGGGCGCCCTCACCAGTGGAGACGACACGCGGTGGCCTGTGGGCTTCAGCACACGGCCACCTGTCCCATGTCACCATTCTGTAAAAGACTACGGACAACTTGCATCGAACTCTGAGGCAAAACCCAGGGAGAGAAAAGGCTGTCATTCGCCAAAAATGATTTCAAATGGAAGTAATACACAGGGTAGTGAAAGCGGCTCACGGAAAGAAGGGGGGCCGCCCCTAGCACTTTCTGTGGTGCCCGGTAGCTGTGCTGGCAGGTACTGGCCGTGACCCCACAGCTGCCCAGCAGGTGCATCCCAGGCAGACCCGTGTGTGTGCACAGCCCTTCTGGCCTCAGAGTGGCTAGCTTCTCCATGAGCCCCATTCAGCTGTCTCCCGGGGCCAAGAGGGCCGTGCCTGGTACCCGGCCGCCCAGATGTCACATGGCCACATGAAGGGAAGGAGGACAGAGAGATGTCACGTGAGCTCAGGAAGATCTGAGAGCCGGACAAAACTCAGTTCAAAGAGGGGCCTCAGAGGGGCAGGGGTGAGGGGGGGGCTTGGGGCCGTGGGCTTAAAGCAAGGCTCCCGCTCTGTGGAAACCCACTGAGACATTCAGTGTCCCATACCAGAGCTTCCTACTCCACTGGAAATCTTCCCGACTACTAGCAACATCTGGAAAAGATTCTTCTTCTTTTTTAAAAGTAGGCTCCACGCCCAACATGGGACTTGAACTCATGACCCTGAGATCAAGAGTCGCGTGCTCTATGACTGAGCCAGCCAGGCATCCTGAAAAAAATTCTTAAAGTCTAAACAGCCTTGTGTATCTCCAGAGGGGGTGGGAGAGGAAACGGTGGGGCCCTGCCTGGACACCAGGCTCAAGCAAAGAACTGCTCACCAACCACGCAGGTGCGAGGAAAGCCTGGATCTGAACTCCGTAAAGCAGCAGAGGCCGAGCAGCCATGACCTACCAGATGTCACATGAAATAAGCGTCTGTTCCTCCTGACTCACGATTAAAGGGGGAATCAAAGCTGAACGTGCCTTTTCCTCTGCTGGTCACCAACTCCCCTTTGATGGAAAAGTGCTCCCGAGTTACATTTTTGTTTCAGGCCTGAAAGACTTAATGTGTTGAGTGGCGGGCACTCTGCCCTGCGGCCGCTGTCTCAGCAGAGCAAACCCAGGCTGTCCAGGTGACAGTCTAGGCCCAGACGGGACCTCTGTGACCACACAGGTCACAGTTGGCAATGACACTGCATCCTGTGTTTACAAATATTAGAAAAGAAGAACTAGCCCGATAGGAAAACGCATTTCCAGGTCTGACTGTGATGGTAAGAATTCAAGCTGAGAAAGACCAATCGATGGGAGGCTGGCTCAGGAAGTCTGTACCTGGAAAGACGGAGTGTGGCCTTGACCTTGTCCCCAGGGCACAGACTGCATTTATGAGCTGGTGGGAAGGCTGCTAAGGCAGTTTCGAAGGACAAGGAAGGAAGTTCAGGTAAAGGACCGGGGGTGGGGTGGGGTGGGGAGGAGAAAGCCTTCCAGGAGAGGGGGAGGCGGGAGAGGGGGAGGCGAGAGAGAGAGAGGTAAGTGCAGGAGGGGAGGTTCCCTGGGCCCAGGGAACAGTAAGGTCATCACGGACCGGCCCACACTGTGCAGTCAGCGGGCAAACAGTGGGTCCAAAAGGGTCAGGGAGCAAGAGGGGCACCAGATTCTTTAACAGCAACACTGAAAGCTAGAAAACGATTTTAAATTCTGAGGAGAAAATGTGTTGCACTAATTCCCCGCACAGTGAAGCCCTTCATCCAGCGTGAATGGAGAAAAATGATTTCCTAAATATACTTGTCCGGTACTCTTTCCCAGGAAGTGACAGGGGACTCTCTCCACTAAAACCAAGGAGCAGGTCGGGAAGACCTGCTGGGCAGAGGGAGTCAAGGTCAAAGGTGCCCCTGGCCGGGTGCGGGCACAGGGAGCCCAGGCTCCCGGGGAAGCTCTTCCGGCAGGTCCAAGGGCCTCGCTGGCCAGTGCTGGCTGCAGGGACGAGGAAGTGGAGCCGGACCGCCCCTCCTCCCCCAGCCCAGCAGAACTGGCCGAGGCGCAGAGAGGGAATGTGGGCGCCGGAGCCATCAGTGGTGCCCACCAAGCCCACAGCCCAATTTCTAGCTAGGAAGTCAACATGAGACACGCTGGCAGTGGACCACGCAGAGGAAAGCAGACACCAGCAGGGCACCCAGGGCGGGGCTGGACTGTCAGTCACTGCGGGGCCACCACAGTGCCACTACGGCGGGCCAGGGCAGTACTCCTTTCCATCACAGGCTGCGCAGAGCATTTCTGTTCTTATATCAGCTCACATATTCCCTTGATAAAAACCAACTTTTTACAAGTTTAAATGAAATCAATTAGTGCTGGCATCATGCCTGGGCACACCAGCCGAACACGACGTTCAACTGTGGCACACAGTCTGCTGGGCAGATCTGATCTGCTGTGAGCTGCTGTTTCTGACCTGTGAACGTCACTGTGGAGGTGAGGGGCAGATGTGCGTCCAGCCCTCCGCACGCCTGGCATGAGCGTCCGTAACAGCTGTTTTAATGACTGTTCTTAAAATCTGGTGGCTCGTGACTCTTAAAGAGCCTATTTTATTTTATGTTTTATTTTAGAGACATAGAGAGAGAGAGGGAGAGAGAGAGAGAGAGAGAGAGAGAGAGAGAGAGAATCTTAAGAAGGCTCCATGCTCAGCACGGAGCCTGAGCGGGGAGGCTCGATCTCACAACTTTGGGATCATGGCCTGAACTGAAATTAAGAGTCAGATGCTCAACTGGGGCGCCTGGTTGGCTCAGTCATTAAGTGTCCAACTTTGGTTCAGGTTCATGAGTTTGAGTCCTTCATCAGGCTCTGTGCTGACAGTGTGGAGCCTGCTTGGGATTCCATCTCTCTGCCCCGTCTCTGTCTCCCTCTCTCTCTCCAAAGTGAATAAACATAAAAGAAAAAAAAAAAAGGCGATCAACCAACTGAGCCACCCAGGCGCCCCAAAGAGCATATGTTAAAATGACCAAATCTGAGAACTCCATTGCATCAGCGTAAGATGCGTAGAAGATTCGGAGCAGCAGCCTTGCTGGGCTGGGCCGACCCTGGCCTGCGGCCTGTGAGACCAGCGCAGCACTGCTCCTGAGGGCAGGGCCCTGGAGACGGCCGGTTATCGCGGGGCAACTGCGGGCGGTGATGCGGAAAGGCACCCGAGGCCCAGCACGAATGGGGGCAAAGGCCCCGCGTAGGACACTGGGCCGCACAGGGCCTCCCTGGGGAGGACTGGCCACAGCTGTCCCGTGAGGACGTCTGGAGCAGGTGCGCCCAGTGCCCCTGCCCCGGGAACGTCACCGCGGGAAGCTGGTTCCCGGAGGTGTCTGACTGCATAGCGCGTACACAGCATCGCCGTGATCTGAAAGGAATAAAAACAGGGAAGCAAAGTCCACGGAGGCCATCTGTTGAGACCTGTCTGAACGCCGAATACGACGCTGCGGAACCCTGGGAAGCCGCTTCTGAGGCCTGACTAGTCTCTGCGGTGCGTTTGGCCTCAGTGTACGGTGGGCGAACTGGCCTGGACTTCACCAGGCCTTGCACATCCCAGGGGCGGGCCCGAGGGGCGGGTCCTGAGGACCTTGAGGGGAGGCCTCCCCCACACCCCCTCGGCTCCACCCCTTCCGGCTTCCGGTCCCAGAGTGAGAGGCCTGGGCGGGGCCTGTCACGTGCCTGCCGGAGCAGGAGGGCAACAGGTTGTTTAAGCACACAGCCAAGCAAACGTTAGGCGTGAACCTTCAAAGGGTCCCCTTGAGAACCAGGAAACGGCCACCCTGGGAAAGACCGGAACGTCCTCTCACCTCTTACAACCCAAACCACCCTGGCCCGATTTCGGCAGGAGGGAGGACGTAAAGAACGGGGAGAGCCCACCGTTCCGTGTGGATAAACCAGTTTTCATTTCCCCGCAGTTTTCAGGCAGGGAAAGCTGGGGTGTGACGTCCACAGGTACAGGTGCTCCAAAGGCAGGTGGCCCCCAGGGGAGCAGCGTCCAGCGGCCCAGGAGGAGCACATGCAAAGGCTGCAGGCAACATGCGGCGACAAGCCGTGACCGTGATGCAGGGAACGTCACCCCAGGGCAGGGCCCGAGTCTGCCCTTCTCCTGGGTTGAGAGCAGCAGGGCTCCACCAGCAAGGAGGCGGAACGGCGAGTGAAGACCACGGTTCAAGGCGGTTTCGAAGCCTGTGGCCAGGACTCTGCCTGACTTAACACAAATCACCGCTCTGGGGTTAGGTCTCTACCTTGAACAAGTTCAAGAAGCGCCTTCTTAAAGGAATAGCGTCTGAGGTCTGGCTCGCAGGGAGGACCAGCCCCTCTCCTCCCGCGCTGTCTTTTCTCTGGCTTCTAATCGGAGCTTTCCCTAAAAGTCAACTCCCAGAGCCTTTTTTAGATTGGCCTCTTGCTTTATAAAACCCAGAAAATGATTAACCAACTTCTTCCTGACAACACCACTTCTTTGCAAAGCAGAAAGAAAAGTCAACAAAATGCTGAAGACAGCAGAATTTATTTCAAAGAGCTTCATTCATTTTCTGGGAAAAAAAAAAAAAAAAAAAAAGCAACCACCACCCCACATGCAACACAAACAAACGCCCAAAAACAAAGCAAAATCCAACCACAGGCGCACCACACCCCTAGCCAGCAGGGGGGTGGGACTCAGAAAAAGGGCAAACAGAAAGGAAGGCGGGCGGGGTCCAGAGGGAGGGGCGGGGGCTGTTTATTATCAGAATCCAGAATGTTCCTACAGGGACCGCCACTCGGAAAACCCTGGAGGGGACGGGGCTCTGGCTGGGCAGGGTGCTGGAGAAACCAACCAGGTCCACGGAGGAGAGAAACCCAAAGAGAGGCCGTGTGGGCGGGGACACAGGCACACCAGCCAATGGCACGGGCTGGGACACAAGCACACCGGCCAATGGCGCCCGCCGGGACTCAAGCACACCAAACTAGGAGAAGAGGAGTTTCCTCCCAATGCGCTGTCGGGAGGGCCTGGGGGCCATGACAGCCGGGCATGCAGGGCCCAGGGCGCCAGCCTGCAGCCCTCCTCCCCTCCCCTGCAGTTGCAGGGAGGGGGTGTCCCAGGGAGGAGACAAAGGGTGGTGGTGTTTGTAAACACCAGGCTCCACCCCTGCGCTGGCCCGAAGACTAACAGGATCTTGGCAAGCAAAACCACAAGGGCCCCCGAGGTTTCTAAACACTTGGATTCCTCAGCATGAAGATAAAGGGATATAAACAGAAATCCTCTCTGCCATACTTTAAAAGCCAAAACCGGAGAGGGCCAGTCCCAGAGTGCCTACTTTCTTGCCCCAATATTCTGCCACATGAAAAAGAGAAGCAAGTCCCTCGTGGGGGTGGGGACGCAGCCTTGAGGTCCCAGCCCAGGACTGGCCCCTCACAAGCCTGCCCAAGGCCTCTCTTCACTGCTGAGGGAGCCACCGCCCCCCTTCCACGCAGGGCAGCATGCAGGGGCCGCAGGCCGTTGGTGCGCAGGGGTTGACGCACAGGGGCCGCAGAGGGTCAGTGCTCAGGGGGTGAGTGGGCAGGGGCCAGAACCCGACTGCTATACTAGGGCGTCTATTTTCTGACGGCCCCCAGGTACAGGCCAGCACATTTCTCTTTCTTAGAAAGTGTCCATTTGGCTGGATTATAAACTGATCATTAAAGACCCCATGCCTGCCACCTGGTCTGGCTTTGCCGGACGCTGAAGGCACCCCGCAGCCCACCTGCACTGTGCAGGGCCAGCCCTCAGCCGCTGGCAGCACGGGCGTGAACCATGCTCAGCCATCATGCCCGCCGCTGCACCAGAGAGCACCTTACGAGCCACCTCTCGGCACCAGTGTCACGGAGATGTGATTCATGCGTCTGGAGGGTACAGCTCAGTGGTTTCAGGGCGTTCACACACTTGTGCAACCCTCAAGGCTCTGATTCCAAAGCATTTTCATCACCCCAGGAAGGACCCCCGTAATAGCTGGCAGGCTCCCGGGGGGCCCTGGTGCCCAGTACCCCCTCGCTTTCTCTAGATTTGCCTGTTCCAGACAGTTCCTGTCAGTGTTGCACTTCATTCCTTGTTTACGGCCAAGAGGCATTCCGCAGTAAGGATGTCCTACATTTTACTTATCTGTTCCTTAGCTGATGGACGTTTGAGTTGTTTTCCCATCGGGGCTATTCTGACTCATGTTCCCCTGAGCCCTTGGGTGCAAGTATTTGCCCGGACCTCACACTCCACGGAGTTGCTGGGTCGCGTGGCACGTCGTGAGAGAGGGAGAGCCAGACTGTCTCCCAAAGTGGCTACGTCACTTTGCGCCATGTCATTTTTCTTATCTAAGTATGAAGTACACACATAAGTAAGTGCAGGGACACTTTCATAGTGTGAGAGCATAAAACTAATGTTCTAGGGGCGACTGGGTGGCTCAGGTCATGATCTTACGGTTCATGAGTTTGAGCCTCAGGTCGGGCTCTCTGCTGTCAGAGCAGAGCCTGCTTTGGATCTTCCGTGCCCTCTCTCTGCTCTTCCCCTGTTGGCTCTCTCACTTTGTCTCCTTCTCCCGGCCCCTCCCCTGCTCGTATCCTCTCCCTCTTTCTCAAAAAAAAATAAAAATAAAAAACTTAAAAAGCCCCTCATGTTCTAGGTCGAATTCAAGTTAGCCATTCGATAGAACAATGAGATCACACGCTCAGTTTTGGGTTTTAGAACAGAGCCATTCTAGAAAGCTGGAAGGAGCTGAAGAAAAGGCAGCCTCCTTGAAGAGCCGGAGTGGTCGAGATGCGGCAGGCATGGAGGGCTCTAAACCCAGGATCTGACACACACTCAGTTTTCCTGTGCTGCAGAGCCCGGCCTCAGTCACCTCTGCTTCTCCCGCTGACCAGACACACAGCTGGAAGCAGAATTCGCATCCCAGACGTGGGTTTTAGGCCAGGCCACGTTCAATGCCGTCCCCACCGCCCTCTCCGCAGAGAAAGACATACCTACTCACTGGCTCCGCAGGTCATGGACTCAAAGCCAACTCAGTGCAAACGGTTCCCAACTTGTAACCAGCGGGTCCCCGCAGGAAGGCAAAAGGCACAAGTGATGCATGATTCTTACAAAGAGACTGAGCGACACACGCCTCCTGAACACGGGCCCGCTACAGCGTGGCTGCGTGGTGAGGGAGGCTGCAGGGACAGCAAAGCTCCTGCCCGTGCCGCAGCGGTTTTCAACGTGTGGCTCAGAGGCACTCCCGGGAACCTGGGGCCCTAGCAGAATGTGTGTGAGAGCAAAGGCATCTTCAGAGTAAGGCTAAGCCTCCGCCTGCCTTTTCCAGGGCTGACACGGTCACTGAGGCTGCAGCCACCAAGGAAGGTGCTGGAGCCGAGGCACCAGCACCAGGGTATGGGGTCACTGGACCTCAGGGCCACATACACAGTGAAGAAAAAAAGGAAGTTTCACTGAAGACATCGCTAATGAAGCAGCAAACTGCTCCAGCCGGTGCCAAATGCTGACCCTCTGACACATCTTTCTCTGCGCTTCATGACAATGCAGGCAGAGGGTGGGACAAGCGGCACACAGAGCCAAGCCCCCCGCCCATGTGATCTCCTGAGACCTTCCCCCAAGAGCCCTCTGTGCACCGCACCAAGGATGAGAATCCTAAAAACTTCAGAAATGGAGTTCAGAAAAACTGAAAAAAAGTTCAGTGCTGCCCGGAGCCTGCCTGACTCGTGGGGCCCTGACGCTCCACGTTATAAGAGAATTCTCCAGAGGTTTTCTCTTGGATGCACCTAAAACAGTTTCAAACTTTCCATCCATGTGCCATTTTCCAGAGTGACACGGGGTGTCCAGAGGGCCTGGACCTTCTGTGTCACCTTCCTCTTTCTCAGATGGCACCGGGACCCAATTCTGTGGAGAGCCCGCAGATAGGCCGGGGCAGGCCGCTTACCTGATGGTGCCGGTCGGGGAGGGGACGGGGCTGACTAGGCTGCGGAGATCCGGCTCCGGAATGTGAATCTTCAGGGGGGAGATCTGTGGGTAGAGGGGCCGGAGGGGAGACGCCGGGGCCTCCTCCTGACGGTACAGCGACGTGAACTGGATCTTGATGGCCGTGCTGGGGAATCGAAGAGTGCACCTGCAAGGAAAGGGAGAGCACAGGTCAGCACGGGCGAAATGTGGAGGAAGGCCGAGGGTTGGGAGCAGAAGGTTCTAGATCACCAAGTAATGGAACCTCCGCCTTCAGTCCCTCTGCAGTTCCCAGAGCGAACCAGAAATCCTCTCTCTGATGCTGTCACTGGGATGTTTGTGGATAGTGATACGGGCTCTCCTTTCCCTGCACGTGTGAAGGGAGACGCACAGACCCAGACGGGCCCCAGCGGAGGCTCAGACACACAGAGCCACCTCCTGTCCGCTGGGGTGGCTGCAGGGGACCTGAGGGGGGTTCACCGTCACAGAGAACGCTGGTCGGGACAGATGCTGGGATCACCGTTCCTGCGGAGAGTTTGCAGACAGACACCCGTGGTGCGGCTGCGAGATGCTATGGAGCGTGACAGAAGCGGTGGGGCTTCGACCGGGGCGGCAGGACCCTTGTGGAGAAACAGGACCATGGGCTGGACTTAGGGACCGGCTGCACGATCGGCTCCGGGCCCTGGATTTTCTATAGGCAGGCGACCACATGCAAACAAACCCAGCTTTGCACATCCAAGTCCCACCCCGTGCACGTGTGTATGTGTGTGTGTGCGTGTGTGCGCGCGTGTGTGTGTCACCTCCCTCCAAGAAACGTCTGCCTGTAAAAGCCGGACATTGTTTCTCCAGCGCGCCCTCTGACTTCTAAAGGGACAGGCCCTCAACAGGCTGGAACTGCAGGACTGGGTCACGCACACAAACGGGAGCCCGAATAAAAGCAGCTGCCCACGAGGCCAGTGACAGTCTCGCCCGTGGCAACTGCTTAGAAAAGGCTCTTTGTGAAAAATGGGGGGTACAGTGGGGGGGGGGCGCTGGAGATGGTGCATGTAAACTCCTGCCTCCAACGCATTTATCAGAGTTTCAGAAAGGGGCTCCAATTATGCCATGTGATGCGCAGCTTGGGTGCGTGTCCAGGTCCCCCCGTGGCACGACCCTGAGGAGCCACTGCCGGCAGGCCACTGGCCCCCTCCTGCCACTGGATCCCTCGGACTCCCACGGACATGGCAAAGACCCCTTTCATTTGACTTCCCTTTTCCTCTCAGTAAAATAGTTTTTAAAAAACAAGATTAAAGGACAGGTCAAAATCAGCTCTAAGACCCCGCCAGACAGTGCATGGGTGCTTGCACCCACGGGGTTCCCCTGGGCCTTCTAGCGGGGAACCCCCTTCTCGTGAAATGACTCGGCGACACGGTCGGCATTTGTTCTAGCAGCCACGCTGTCTGCACCTCACAGACAAAGTCAGTAACTCAAACTGGCTCGACGGGCCAGTACTGATCCTTCTAGATCCCTGGGCGCCGGGGCCGGGTCTCAACAAAGGGGGGCCTGCAGCCAGCGGCACTCAGGATCCTGAGCCGCGGGCACCACATTCGTGTTTCCAGACCTAAGAGCAGAACAGAGGGGCTTCTGACACTGCTTCCTGACGTGGTGCCGATCCTAGGGGACGTGGTCTGGACGCCAGCACACCGGGTGGGGGCGGGGGGGGGGCAGGTGTTTGTCCTGTCGTGTTGAGGTCGCCCCCATGGTTCTGCCAGAGACCACCCGCGGCCATGTGGAAATATTCTGGAATTTTCTTCTTGGAAGCCACGGTTTGAAATGCTGAGGTCACTTCCACTTTCCTTCTTCCCACAGCCCAACAGAAGTTTCCTTCATCGATTGGTATCTTGGCGAGAAAGTTACAGCACATGTTTTCCTAGGATGCTGAGGCCTCTGGTCTCTCTAGACGTGGGGGGGGGGGGCTGTCAGCTTTTGAGGGCATGGAGCGCACATCCGTCCCAGCTCATGTCCGAGGGTGGCCACCATCCCCGAGACAGGAATCAGGAATCCAGCTGAGGCATCCACACACGCGCACAGCCCTGTTCTCAGTGTGACATGGAAGCGACAGAGAGGAGTGGTTACACATGGGCTCTCTGTCCTCTCGCGTCTCTTCCTTCGGCAGCTGCTTGTCCTCACAGCCAGCGGCTCTGACCACCTGCCAGCAGGGTGTGCAGATGGAGGGGGTGCCCCGTACCATACCAGCCCCGTGCTGATGGGTGAGAGCATACTGCAGGCAGCCAGAGGGAGGGTGTGGCTTTGGCCATAACAGAGGTCACAAGGCAGAAGGGAATGACAGAAAACAGGGTTCTAGGTGAGCACAAGAGCTGGCACGGGACCCCTGGACCGAGGACAGGAAAGCCAGGCTCCGGGCGGGTGGGTCTGGGCCGGGGCTGCATCACCGCAGGACCAGAGGGCGAGTCTCAGCAGGTGACCGAGGGGCCCAGGGAGGGCACCGCTTCCGGTCCCCAGTGCAGGAGAGGCGTCGGGTGTGGGCTGACACACAGGGGGCCAACGTGAAGGAAGAAGTGTGACTTAGGACTAGCCTCACCTCTAGCGAGCTCCATGCCCTGACCGCTATGGGTCCGTGTCCTTGGCTAACAAAAGGGGACACTGTGAACAGAAGAGATGATCTCTTAGGCACTTTCCAGGTCAAAAACCAAAGATTCCAGAAGATACACGCACATGGGTGGATTTTTCAGTAAAACAAAACACGTTTCGTAGGTCAGGGATTTGGGTCAGCAAATCTGCAGCAAAATCGAACAGCGTCCAGAACTGACTCAAGCAGGACAATTTCCTACTGGAGGAGTCGTCTCCAACTCAGGTTTAACAATAAACTTTCGTACTATTTGCTGTAACGGCTGCTTCCAAAGCAGCTCCTGACTCACTCTTCCAGAAACTATCCTGAGGCGGACAGCATCCTACCTGGGAGGAGGGGAAATGGCAGGAAGACACCTCCCCAGGGCGCTCAGGGCTCACCGATTACTTCTCGGCCTGTAATACTTTCATTCTGGGTTAGGGCCCTGGGTGGAGTTTTAATGAGCATGTTTTGCAATTAAAGCTATTCTCTTGGAGCTTCTTCCCCTCTATCTCACTCCAACCGCACGCTGCGCACCTGCCTTCAGTGCCAGGACTCCCGGCCAAGCGTGCATGTGTTAGAACTCACGAGAAGTCACTGCCCGGGCCTGCAGGCAACTGCCCTCCTGGGAGGGACAGCCCGTCAGGTCTGCTCGGAGCGTCTTTGTCCTAAGGGACAGACACAAAGTGGGTGGGTGGTGGCCTAGGGCTGGGGACGAGGGGGAACCGGCCAGCCCTAGTTGCTGGGGAACCGGTGATGCAAACCTCCTAAAACTGATCACGGCAGGAGCTGCACACCGAACTGAAAAGCGATGAAGTGGACGAGGTAAGTGGGTTAGTTGCGTGCTGTGTGAATTGTATCTCATTCAAGCTCTTCTGAACAAATGTTCTTGCCCTCGAGCTCCCACGCTCGGGGTCTGCCCCAGCCTTGCAAAGGTCCTGGGGCCATCTGGAAGCCAAAGGCCCCTGGTCGGTGCCTTGGTTCCCTGTGAAGTGGTCCTATTCAGCATCAGGTCAAAGATCACAGCGCAGAAGTCTGGCCCTGGCAGTGCTCAAGTTTGAAGGAGCTACTGATCCAGGGGGAGGGGCCTGGGACAGTGACTTCTCCTCACTTCCGCCAGGGCCTTAAGTGGGAACCCCACCACCTGTCTACCAGCCTGGAAACTGTTGCAGATAGAAACGGCTCATCTAAACCTCACCGATACAAACACAAGTACCGTGACTTCGTTCTAGACACAAGAAATAAACAGAAAGAGAAGGAAGTACAGGTGAAAGCTTCCAAAAAAGGTGGTGGTTTTTTTTTTTTTTTAAGGTAATAGAGAATTCCTCTCCAGAGCTGTCACTGCCCCCACCTCCCGGCCTGCCTCTCGCCCCGCCGTGTCTCCTCAGAGTGGGCGACCCACAGAGACGCACCTGAGCAGAGAGTGACACTCCACACTGCAAACAGACGACTGAAGTTCCGCACGCCGACCCGGGTGCCCCCCAGCCTTCCCCCCACGCCCCAGCGGATGGCAGCCAGGGACGAAGCAGGCAGATCAGGCGTTTGCGGCCCTCGTGAAGCCCAGCGGACAAGGGACCTACCTATCAGTCGGCCACCCCCGCACATGTGGCAGCAGTCAGTGCAAGGACCTCACTCTTAAACGTGGACAGGAAAGAACAGACATCTGGAAGCAACTCCAGCAGGAAGCCAGGGACCAAACAATTTGGAGAGGGCGGAACTCAGAGGAAACAGGTAACTCGGGAGCGAAGAGATGGCAGACCACCTGTGTCTCCCAGTGGCCACCTGAGGACCGAGGGCCCCAGAAGGCATCTCTTGGACAGTTAGACGTACGCAGAAAAGAAATCTTGAAAAGGAAGTCTGGATGAGATGGGAAAACATCTCCTGAAAAGACAAAGGAAACTTTGGTGGCTCAGGCCAGGAGGTCCGCATCTGGACGAGAGTCACTCCACAGAGGAGCCCTTCCCAGGAAGCTCTGGGGAGGAAGGTTCGGGATCCCACAGCACAGACCGTGGGAACCACACCGCGCTTCCCGGCCACTGCAGAAACCAGAGCCTGCTGCAGGCGGCTGGGGCCGTCCCCAAGTTCAACTCAGGACACAGGCGCTGCTCCACCGATAGGAGGGGAGGACGCGCACGTTACAGGCCGGAGTCTGTGTGCCTTCCCCTGTGGCCCTGGACAGCAGGCCCTGTGTGACGGAGCCTGCTGCCGCGATCGGACCCGAGGGGATGCCCACATACGGGCCGCAGCACTGCGAAGGGCCCAGCCTTTGTCATCGGGCTTCGATGGGAAGCAGGCTGGCCAGCCCACAGCGTCAGGGGGGCCTCAGAGCTGAGTGGGTGGTGAGGGCCCACGCCGGACGGCAGTAACTGAAAGCCCAGTTTCCAGAACGGAATCTGCCCCCGGGGACCCCCGCTGTGGCTCCTGAACATGGACATGACACTGAGCAGCAGAGGAGCTACCAAACTTCCGTGGAAACTCCGCAGCCCCACAGACCACAAACCTGGCCCGTGAGGTGTGGCCTTCATGCCCCGACCTGCACCGGGGGGACAGGCCGCTAGGCA